ACAGCCACGGGCAGCCCCATCTACCTGGTGGTGATCCCAGGGGGGGGGAAGCCTCAACTTTACACATGCAGCTGCAGCCCACCTTCCCTCCTCCCTCCCTCTCCCTTCCTCCCTTCCCCTTTCTCCCTCCTCCCCTCCCTTTCCCCTTCCTCCCTCCTCTCTTCCCTCCCTCCCTTCCTTCCTTTCCTCCCTTCCTTCCTCTTTCTGACCCCCTCCCTTCCTTCCTCCCTCCCTCCCTCTCTCCCTTCCTCCCTCCCTCCCTCCCTCCCTTCCTTCCTCCCTCCCTCCCTCTCCACACCTTTCTTCTTCCCTTTTTTGAGATGGGGTCTCTCTATGTCATCCTAGCTGTCCTGGAGCTAGGAGAGATTCACAGACATCCTCCTGTTTCTGCTTCCCAAGCACTGTTCCACACGCCTGCTCCTTGAGTTTGTTCAAGCCACTCTGTTTGGACATGTCTATAAAACCTGAATGGACATGGCTGCTCCCACAGGTGGAGCGTCCTCCTTTTCACTGTATCAGCCGGTGCGCACCCCCGCCACGTGTTCTAACTCTCCTTCAAATGCTTGTATATACACCCACTCACGCCTGTGTGTACACACACATCCCCTAGTCTAACTCAGCCCACATTCACTCAAACTCACAGTACACACTCACACTCATACACACACTCACACTCACACTCTGTGATAAGCCACCTCTCCATCTTGTGCCTCGTCAGAAGTAGTAGGCCATGTTCCTGTCCTAACACCCACACTACCCTGGCACACTCGTGGCCAGCAGAGAGGCAGTTTCTCCTGCCCCCAGGGACAGGCAGTCCTGCAGAGGGCTTCTCCAGAGGCCGTGCCCTTTGGGAACAGAGGGTGGGCTCTGAGCTGAGCCTACTACCTCTGTGGTCATCAGGGCCAGAGGCACACAGGCATGCGTGGGCCCCGAGGCTGTAATTTAGCTAGAAGGACCAACACCTACTTCTCTCCTATGAAAATTCAGTGCTGTACCTGGAAGACAAGTGCTTGGAGGTTGGAAGACACACAGTTCAGGAGCTCAGCAAGGTCTGTTGAGGTTTCCAGCAAAGAAATCAAACATTCCAAGCCTGTAAGGAGACAGAGCGGGATGAATCAGATGGCATGAACTTGGCACCCATGTCAGAACCCTAGGGGACAGGCCCCAAGGACAGCGCAGAGGGCCTTCCCAGAACCCCACATTCATCTGGAACACAAAGGGCCAGCTCTCTGGCTGGACCTGCCACTTCTGGGCCACCTTCTTGGAAATCACAGTCCTGTCTCTGCCACTCATTGCAATGGAAAGACGTGTTTGAGACAAGAGCTCCACCTTGCAATTACCCGGAGTCTGGCTTCAGGTGAGCTCACTGCACTGTGCAGACATGACCTCACCCATCCCTGACGGGCTCACAAACGAGCCGGCTCATTAGTGTCACTGAAATGATGGGGGCATCAAAGGCAGTGAGTGCCTTGCCTGGGGTTGTGTGCTCACACAGGTGGAGCCCCGGCTGGTGTGAAGTCAGGCCTGCTGTCCCAGGGAGCAGTGCTGGAGGAAGAATAGCAAGGAACAGCCTTCCCTCCCGGGCAGCTGCCGGGCAAGCCGGTTTATGAAAACAGCAGGCCTGTGGCCTGGGCTTTCCCAACTCCCAGCCTGCAGTGGCCAGCGGGGTCCTGGCTGGACTCAGCACCCTCCTCGAGGGACACTCAGGGATGATGGGGGCGCATGCCTGCTCTACACAGGCCAAGAGGAAGGCTGAGGGCCTCTGGGCTCTACGGGAGGGTGGCTGGGGCCCAGAACGGCGAGTGCACGCCCACCTGGGCTTTCCAGGAAAGCCCATGCCCTTGGAAGGAGGACTTCAAGGCTATTGGGGATGGGTTCCCAGAGCTCTGGAACTTGCTTGGCTGAGGAAACTGGACCATCCCAGGGGCTGTCTGGACTGGCGACAGCCAGGGTCTTTGGGACAGGGGACACAAGGGACAAGTGACAGGGGATTGACAGACACTAGTGCCAAAAGCCAGGGTGTATTTCAGTCACCTAATGACCAACAGCCACAGCGGGGCCAAGTCTACCTCACAGTCCCAGGACACGTGTTTACGTCACTGCACCAGTGTGCCTGGGGTCGTGGACACTGCTCTGTGCAGCAGCCATGTGGGTTCGGGCACCCCAGACGAGCACTGCAGGGGCTCGTCCTCTGCTCTAGCAGCGTTAGCTTCGGGAGAAGTGGCTCGACCTCCCTGGGGCATCCGGCAGGGGAGGAGCCGGCACCCAGTGCCCCCTTCTCCACTCCCCTCCTGGGGGTGCTTGGGGAAGGCCCTTGAACCACTGTCTGTCGTGCCACCCTTCAAACCCACTGTGTCGCCAGAAATCAGGCGTCTTCACAGAGAGGTATTTCCCTTCCCTGAAGACGACTACAGTTGTGGAGTGTCGGTTACAGAGCGACGCAGCCGCTGGCTGGTGCTGTCTGCCGGCTGTGTGGGGGCAGCTCCACCCTGCACTGTTAGGACTCCGGGTGGCTGACTGCGGGCCAGGGGAACCTGGTGACCATGGAGCTCACGCCACCCCGTCAACCAGGGGAAGAGACAGGAGCCAGGAGCAGTCTCCCCTCGGCCCCCTAAGGGGCTGTCTGCGAAGAACTGCTGTCAGCAGCAGCGGCGGCGCTGACACCGCCCGCCCGACTCAGGAAGCCCTGGTGCCATCGCTATGGCGTGTCTATCACAGGGTTCCGAGGCCTGTGGCTCAGGATGCCCTCGTGGGCTGAGCGACCCTTCCACAGGGGTCATGGGTCAGGTAGCCTGCACGTCAGGTATTCACAGTGCAGTTCATAACAGGAGCAACATTACAGTTACGAAGGCGCAAAGGGAATAGTTTTGAGGCCGGGGTCGCACAGCATGAGGATTAAAGGTGGCAGCTCAGGAGGCTGAGGCACGCTGCCATTGGGGGTCTCCTGGCCTGGGAAGACATGGGTAGTGCCCCCAACTACATAAGCCCTACTGTGCTGCGGGAGGCCTTCCTAAGGACGGCCGAGCTGCCCAAACGGTGAGCGTGAGGGAGGGTTACATTTCATCTCTGTGCGGCTTTCCAGCTCCTCTTCATGGCCCGAGTCCCCTGCCAGGACCTTCTTGGAAATATCCAGAGTGCCCTCGCTGATGATGGCGCGCAGGTCCGACTTCAAGAGGCCGACTCTCCGGCTGTTCTTCAGGACCATTTTCATCGTCTAAGGGTGGGGAGGCAGAATGGTCAACGCCTGTCATGTCGCCATTGCTTACTCCCTGGACAGACTCATGTCATGTCGCCATGGCGCCCCTCCCCCCCGACATCAGTTTCCTGTTGTCGCTGGGGGGAGGAAACGTGGCTGTGGGTATGTCCGAGAACATGGAGCTGTGCATGGCTGCTGCTCGCTGTGTCCAGGGAACGATGACAAGGCATGTCTGCCACACTCAGGACAGACGCAGCTGTCAAAGGCCGTGCGCGCGCTCTTAACCCGCAGACCCAGGAGGATCCCGCCTCCCAGCACTGCAACCCTTGACGGCAGCTCCTCCTGTGGTGAACCAACCATACAATCAGCTTCACTATACTTCAAACCTGTGATTTAGCTACTGCGATGAACTGTGATGTAAATAGCTGACGTGTGACCTCAAGGGGTCTCGACCCGCAGGTTGATAACCTCTGAATCTAGCATGTCAGCTACATGATCCCCAAACGCTCAGCGCTGAGGAAACGGGGAGCCCAGGCATGTGGCATTCGGAGGCACCTGTCTGTCCGCCTGTCAGTCAGGGGTCAGCTGTGACGCCCTGTCACACCTGACTCCAGCCAGCCCCGGCCAGCAGCCCCAGAGCGCCACTCTGCCCCCTGCGTCTATTAGATGCTGCCGGGCGCTGTCTCCCGGGCACAGCTCAGAGGTAACTGGAGCCTTTCGGTGTAAGGGACAGGATGACTTCCCACATTGCACTCTGGGGCCTGGGGCCTCCCAGCTGTGGCCAGCAGGCTCTCCTGTCTGCCCTCTGCCTAGGTGGGGTGACTGCTGGGCATGGAGTGTCGCTTGTGCCTCAGGAACACAGGGAGCCGCAATGTACCTTTGCCATGTTGGAAAGGTATGTCTTTCTCCTGAGCCTTTTGACAAATCCAGTGACTTCTGTGAAGAACAACACAGAGGGCCATTACTGGAGCTGCCCACTGGAGCAACTCTTGTGGGGGGGAGGGGAAAGGGGAAGAGAGGCACCCAAGGCTGAGCAGAAAAGCTGTACTGCCTCAGGCTGGACCTCTTCCCACCTCCCCTCCCCGTCACCCCTCTCTATCTCCCTTCCCCTCCCCATCACCCTCTCCATTACCCCTCTATCTCACCTCTCCCCATCCCTCCTCCTTCTACCCCTCCCATCACCCCTCCCCATCACCCCTTGTTCACAAGGAGAATCATCACCCCACAGTGATGGCACTGAGAGGCCAAGCCTGTGTGAACAAGGCCCTTTCCTGAAGGGAGTCCTCCTCACCACCCCCCCAAAGGAAGGCAAAGCTGGCAGACTGTGTCCTGACTAGACCAGTCCCGCCCTCATGCTGGACATCTGGCCGCACAGCACCTCTTCCTCACAAGCACCCCAGGAACGAGCCTCAGCTGCTTGTGAGCTGCCAGGGTACCATGGGCAACAGCCATCTGAGCTAACCGGGGTAGGTTAGTCTAGATTCCAAGGAGTCGACTTTTCACTCAGGAGCTCCAAAGACCCCAATGTTCTCATCTCTCTAAGGCCAGGAGGGGAGGCCAGCTGCTCCCTCTCAGCCTCCTCCATTCACCTGACAGATGCTGACAGGGACACTCAGACACTGTCCGCTGGTGTGGCCCAGCTGAGAACCAACCAGAAGCTCTGACATGCCACCGAGGCCCACCTGCTCTGCCCCAGGTCGAGGGCGATGGGCAAAGTGCGTCACTGTCACAGGCAGGTGACAGTGCCTGACTGAGGCTGGAGCTGCCCGGGTGGCCTCTCACAGGGCCTGTGCTCCACGTGCAGTCCTACCTTTGAGTTTGGAGAGCTGTAAGATGGCTGGGAAGCCTTCCAGAGCGTTGAGAAGCCACAGTTTGAGTCTCTTACTGAACAGCCGCACAGACTTTAGGTACTGGATACTGACATCCTCCAGGAAGTCGGGAAGGAGCATGTCCTCCAGGCCCTACAGACAAAGAATGGAGCAGAATGACGTGGCCCGCTGGCGCCACAGGGACTGTGTCACAGGGACTGGGTAGGTCGCTAATGACAGGGGCAGCCACTGCCACCCTGGTGTGCCAGGACTGGAATCTGTCAAACATTGATAACGGCATCTTCCCCAACCCCCGATTCTGCGGATGAACCCGAGGCCTTGTGCGTGCCCCGCAAATGCTATGGCACTGAGGAACATCCTAGCCCCCGATTCAGTTAAAGCAAACAAAACCCCAGGCAACAAAACCACCACCCTGGCAAGGGCCACGCGTGTCAAAGCCAAATGCTGAAGGGCCGGGTCAGCTCCCTGTAGTCTTCCGTGAGAGAAAGGAGAAGCCCTAGGCCCGTCAGACCTTGACAGTAAGAGCCGCATCTGCAGAAGACACTTTCCGCACAGAAACGAGGCCTGTGTGACCCCCCGGCTGCAGCGTCGGCCCCGGAGTGGAGCTCAGGGGCAAGGCAAGCCTGGCTGCCAGAGCAGCCATGCTCTACATTCCAAACCACCTTTCCTTTGCCGAAACGCTATTTGTTTTATGCGGTTGAGTGTTTGCCTGAATGCAGGTCTGTGTACTGCAGTGTGCACTGTCTGAGAAGACCACAAGAGGGCGCTGGGTTCACTGGAACTGGAGTTACAGAAGGTTGAGAACCAGCAAGGGGCACTGGGAGTCCATCCTGGGCCCTCTGGGAGAGCAGCCGGTGCTCCTAACCCTGAGTCATTGCTCTATCTCCCTCAAACTGCCTTTAAAAAATACTGGCCTGGGGCCACCTATAACCTCAGTACTCCAGAGACTGAGGCAGGAGGATTGGAAGTTCAAAGCTTTGACTGGATACTGTCTCCAAGAAAGAACAACAGACATCTTTGATTGGATGTCCAGAGAGACAGAAACTGGCTGAATTCTGACCATGGTCATTGTTTTCTTTGTGTGAGGAAATTCAAAGGAGCAAAAGGCCCCTGTCCACCGTACACAGATGTTTGTGTTAGGGCTGTGCTGCTCTGTGTGTGCTGGGAACACGATTCTGGGCTAGTATGTGTTGGGGTGTTATTCTGGCGTGGTGGAAACTAAGTGTGCTGTTCTGGGCTGGTGTGTATTGTGTGTACTGTTGTGAGCTGGTGTACATTGGGGGTTCTGTTCTTGGGGGGCTGGTGTGTAATGAGTGTGCT